CCATATATGAAAATGCCTGTTTCCCATACCCTACTTTCACAGTTACTTTCAAACTTTTATAGCATTAACAATCTGCAGTGAAAAATAATTCAAATAATAAAAAAAAAAAGAAGACTGTGCTGGGAATTCCCTGATGGTCCAGTGGTTAGGACTCGGCGCATTCACTGCCGAGGGCCTGGGTTCAGTCCCTAGTTGGGGAACTAAGGTCCTGCAAGCCATGCAGCCAAAAAAAAGTTTTTTTTATTTAAAAAATAAAATTAAAGAAAGACTGTGCAGGTCAAACTAAATATGGTCACGGCCCAGAATCAGTCCCTGGGTTGCCAATTTGCAGTTCTGTTCTCTGTCCTATTGACCTCTGTTTCCCTTTAGGTATGAGTCATAGTCAGCCCATCAGCCAGGCCAGTGGGGACCCTGAGGCCATCAACACACCTGGAGACAACTCCACTGAGATCCAGAGCCACTGCCAGGAGCCCTATTATCAGGCTATGCCCGCGGGTAAGTCCCCACCTGCTGAAGAACCAGCTCCGACCTGCCTCACTCCCCCCAAGAGGTCTGAAGCCTCGTTCAGCCCCTCCTCCCAATTCTGAGCCTGTTCTGTGCCTCCCTCATTTCACTCCCAGGGACACTCACCTGCACCGCCCAGGTGCCCTGGAAGCAGACACAGGAAAGGGAAGAGGTTCCTCGCTGTGTGCCTGGTGAGTGGGGACCTGTGGCACCATGACGATGGCCACTTCCCAGAGAAGCCTCAGCTGTTGCACAGGGCCTTTCTAAGGGCGCAGGACAGCCGTAGAATAGGAAGGGGGAGGTGAAGGCAGAAAGTGAGGAAGAAAAGGGGAACCAAGAAGGCCCAGAAAAGAAGGAAGGAGCTCATCCCTTCTCCTTCGAGGATCAAGGGATAACTGGGAAACAAAAAGCCAGAAGGAAGCTAACCAGAGGGACAGATGAGTTGAAATAAGAGAAAACCCTCTTTTGACGTGGTCTGCTTTAACGATACACAGAGAGGCTCTCTGTCCCCAAAATATTTCCCTGCCTTAATGCCACAGCGCCAGAAAGCCCAGCATTTTTTTAAAAAAAATTTTGTGAGATAAAATTCATATAACATAAAAATCACTATTGCAAAGTGTACAATTCAGTAATTTTTAGTGTATTCACCATGTTGTGCAACCATTACTACTTATTCTAGAGCATTTTCATCACCCCAAAAAGAAACTCCAACTCTCCCTTCTCCCATCTCCTGGCAACCACTAACTACTTTCTATCTCTATGGATTTTAATCTGGACATTTTATGTCAGTGGAATCATATAATAGCCTTTTGCGTCTGGCTTCTTTCATTTAGTGTAATGTTTTCAAGGTTCATCCACGTTGTAGCATGTATCAGTACTCCATTCCTTTTCTTTTCTTTTTTCTTTTCTTTTCTTTTTTGGCCGAGCTGTCCAGCATGTTGCATCTTAGTTCCCCAAGCAGGAATCAAACCTGTGCCCATTGCAGTGGAAACAGGAAGTCTTAACCACTGGACCGCCAGGGAAGTCCCAGTACTCTATTCCTTTTCATGGCTGAATAGAATTCCACTGTACAGATAGACCACATTTTGTTTATCCATTCATAGATTGATAGACATTTAGGTTGTTTTCACTTTTTGCCTTTTATGAATATTGCCGCGGTGAGCATTCATGTACAAGTTTCTGTTTGAACACGTCTTCAAGTCTCTTGAGTATAGACCTAGGAGTGGAATTGCTGGTTCACATCCGAACTCTGTGTTTAACTTTTTGAGGAACTGCCACACTGTCTTCCACAGTGACTGCACCATTTTACATTCCCACCAGCAATAGATAAGGCTTCAGGTCCACCATTTTTGGGTTCTTTGCCCGGGGGAAGGTTGGTTTTCTTAATATTTTGGCCCAGCCTAGCGGCTTGTGGGACTGTAGTTTCCCCACCAGGGATGGAACCGGCACCCTCGGCAGTGAAAGCACAGAGTCCTAACCACTGGACCGCCAGGGAATTCCCTCAGGTCCACCATTTTTGAAACCCAGTTTTTTGAGTCAAACATGCCTTTCTAACCCAATCTGAGTACATTTCTCAGGTTTTACTCCTGAGCCACAGAAAGCTCTAGGGGCAGAGTCTGACATAGTGCTTTGGGAGGGGGAGATGTTAAAAATGGAGAAATGGGACTTCCCTGGTGGCGCAGTGTTTGGGAGTCTGCCTGCCAATGCAGGGGACACGAGTTTTGAGCCCTGGTCCAGGAGGACCCCACGTGCCGTGGAGCAGCTAGGCCCATGTGCCACAACTACTGAGCCTGCACTCTAGAGCCCACAAGCCACAACTACTGAGCCCGTGTGCCACAACTACTGAAGCCCGCGCGCCTAGACCCTGTGCTCCACAACAAGAGAAGCCACCACAATGAGAAGCCTACGCACTGCAAGGGTAGCCCCAGCTCGCTGCAACTAGAGAAAAGCCTGTGCACAACAACGAAGACCCAGTGCAGCCAAAAATAAATAAATAAATAAATAAACAAATTTATTATTTTTTTTAATGGAGAAATGACCCAGAAACAAGGACAGGAGACACTGAAGACAAACTCTGCTTGCTGCACGATTTTGCTCAAAGAAGGTCCCACCAAGAGTCTAAAAAAGTGGCTTAGGACTTCCCTGGCAGTCCTGTGGTTAAGACTCCGCATTTCCGGGCTTTCCTGGTGGCACAGTGGTTGGGAGTCCGCTTGCCAGTGCAGGGGACACGGGTTCAAGCCCCAGTCCGGGAAGATCCCATATGCCACGGAGAAACTAGACCCATGTGCCACAGCTACTGAGCCTGCACTCTAGAGTCCGCGAGCCACAGCTGCTGGGCCCGTGAGCCACAACTGCTGAGGCCCACGTGCCTGGAGCCTGTGCTCCGCAACAAGAGAGGCCACTGCAATGAGAGGCCCGTGCACCACAATGAAGAGTAGCACCCGCTCGCCTCAACTTGAGAAAGCCCGTGCACAGCAGCGGGGACCCAACACAGCCAAAAATTAATTAATTAAATAATTAATTAAATAAATTTTTAAAAAGACTCCACATTTCCACTGTAGGGGGCACCGGTTCCATCCCTGGTCGGGGAACTAAGATCCTGCATGCGTCGCGGTGTGGCAAAAAAAATAAATTAATTAAAATTAAAAAGTGGCTTTGAAATGGCTGAGGAGGCAGGAGAAAGAGCACTTCACAGAAGTAAGTTTTCAGATGCAACGGCTGGTTTTTCACTTTACCCCTCCTGTCTCCCAGTCTGCGGACGGCCGGTCATCCCCATCGCCCAGAACAGGGAGCCCGTTGGTGCCTCCAGAGCTGAGCTGGGCAACTTCCCCTGGCAGGCCTTGACCAGCATCTACGGCCGAGGCGGCGGGGCCCTGCTGGGCGACAGGTGGATCCTCACCGCCGCCCACACCATCTACCCCAAGGACGGTATCTTCCTCGGGAAGAGCCGGCGCGCGGAGGTGTTCCTGGGCCACACGGACATCGACGAGCTGCTGGAGCTGGGCGGCCACCTGGTGCGCCGCATAGTCGTGCACCCAGACTACCGCCCGGACCAGACCCACAACTTCCACGGGGATATCGCCCTCCTGGAGCTGCGGCACAGTGTCCCGCTGGGCCCCCACCTCCTCCCGGTCTGCCTGCCCGACCGCAAGGCCCTGTACCGCCCGGGCCTGACGGGCTACGTCAGTGGCTTTGGCGTGGAGAACGGCTGGTTGACCACGGAGCTGAAATACTCCCGGCTGCCCGTGGCCCCGAGGGCGGCCTGCGAGGCCTGGCTCCGAGAGAAGCGGAGGACCGAGGTGTTCTCCGGTGGTATGTTCTGCGCCGGGGACAGCACGCGGCCGCAGAGTGTCTGCCATGGGGACAGTGGTGGTGCCTACGTGGTGTGGGACGATCGTGCCCATCGCTGGGTGGCCACGGGCATCGTATCCTGGGGCATTGGGTGTGGTGAGGGGTACGGCTTCTACACCAAAGTGCTCAACTACGTGGACTGGATCAGAGGAGTGATGGGCGGGAAGGATGACCCTGGGGTGCTGAACAGGGGCACCCACCGTGGAGCCCAGACAGGAGAGGGTTGGGTTGAGGACTGAGCCCTGGGCGTGGGGCGGTGGGGACAGAGATTCCTATTCAGGTCACAGCTGCAGCAAACCACTGAGCCAGAGAAATCCTCCGCGTCCCTCAGCCCCCTTCTCACCCTCCACCTTCCTGCGGGTTTGCGCGCTACACCCACACGTCTCCTCGAGTTTCCGCTTTGAACTTCACCCCCCGGGACACGGCGTCTTCTGCACTCTCCCGAGAGACAGTCACCTCATCCTCCTGTTCAAGTGCAGTGTGGGAAAGTAGTCTCAGTTCATTTCTGAAACACTTCAAAGCCCCTGTGGTCGACCTTCAAAGAGTCAAATAGTCTTGGCTTCACCTCGCACAACTCCTTGGTTGCAATTATAGTCACAGCTCTACGTTGTTCTGTATCTTCTTATATCAGGCGCTTCCCCTGTGTTACTTCACTGACTCCTCACACCAGCTTTGCAAAGGATGAGTTATCACCCACGTTTTACCAAGGAGGAAACTGAAGCTCAGGGAGATGAAGGGACTTTTCCAAACCCCACAGCTGATACAGGACGGCGACGTCCTTTCCAGTACACCTCGACAGCTCTCAGGTGTCCTCAAGACCTACTGTATCGCCCACTCCCCGATCCCCGCATCCTTTTAGATTCTCCCTCCTGGGAATTCCTGCCTCGGTGAAGCTGACAACAGCTGGCTCACACTTTCCTGCTGGCTGCATTCCTGCAGACACCTCGGTGAGCCCAGCCCTGGGCTGGACGGTCCTGCAGGCACCCCCAGAGCTGCTGGACACCCTGGGCCATGTCCCCAACATCAAGCACACTGCTCCCCCTGAAAAGACCAGCTCTTTAATTTTTAGTAAGGACTTGATGTCACCTACAGTAAAAGACACAAGTAAAATACAGTTGTTCAAATGGAAAACAAATAAAAAGACACAAGAAACAGTTGTTCAACTGGAAATAGAAGACAAATACATAAAACAGAAGAGAACAAATTTGCTAGACTTCAAGGTCGAGTTAGCTATATGGTTAAAGGTTACATTTATCTTTGAAAAAATAGCAGGATTCAAAGTTATACATACATGTGGTTGCTTCGATTTTTTAAACCTGTACATAGTACAGAATATACTCAAAATATTAATCAGGGTTTTTAGTGTATAATTTTGGCTGTGTTGTTTCCACTCTGTTCCACTAAATTTTATTTAATGAGTATATATTAGTTTTATTTGTCTCATTTCTTTAATTTTTTTAAATTTATTTATTTATTTATTTTTGGCTGCGTTGGGTCTTTGTTGCTGCATGCAGGCTTTCTCTAGTTGTGGCGAGCGGGGGCTACTCTTTATTGCAGTGCGTGGGCTTCTCATTGAGGTGGCTTCTCTTGTTGCGGAGCACAGGTTCTAGGCGTGCGGGCTTCAGGAGATGTGGCTCACGGGCTCTAGAGCACAGGCTAAGTAGTTGTGGCACATGGGCTCAATTGCTCTGCGGCACGTGGGATCCTCCCGGACCAGGGCTGAAACCCGTGTGCCCTGCATCGGCAGGCGGATTCTTTACCACTGCACCACCAGGGAAGCCCCTGTCTTCTTTATTTTTATTATTGAGAACATGATGAGTTTCCCCCTGCCAAGGCAAAAAATATATACCTATACATATCTATATGTCTGTATCTATATATCTAGATCTAGACATGTCTAGACATAGATAGATACAGGTAGATATAGTTATAGGTACAGGTATATAGATAGATATAAATATATCTACAGAGGGAAACATACCATTATGTTAAGAGAGAAACTTTTTTTCTCCCCAGAATCAAATCTTAAAAGGAATGATCAGTATAACAATGTCTTCAATACTGGTTTGAAAACAAATGCTTGAGCAATCTTCACATGGCTGTTTCTTCTTGCTGTCCTTGGTGTACATCAAGGGTATAACACAACATGTAAGTCGAGGTTATTTTGCATGGTTGGGCAGAGTGGGAATCCGACTGGGACTGACCTAATGAGGTCCAAGCTTGTCAGTTTCCAGTCCTCCTACGTGGTACCAGGACAGAACTCAGAATCCCTAGGAGGAATGGGAGAGTTTCTGCCAAGACTTACCTTCTCGGACCACCTCCTCTACCTGTATAGCTGCCATCCTGCCCCGTGGTAAGCACACAGCACACACATACTGCTGTCCAGATACTAATGTGCAGTTTACGAGACAAGATCCCCCTTCTTTCTTGCCTCCTGACATGCTCCTTATCTTTCTTCCCTACCTTTTTTCCTTCCTCACCTGACAAGGCCACGGATCATGCCATGGATCGTGTCATGGATCAGCCCTGCCGGCAGAGTCAGTCCTCGGCTCTGACGTATAAACCTGCTGGAGATCCTCCCACCCTCCAGCCTGGCCTGATCTTGCCTCTCCCATGTGCCTGCTCTCAAACTACATTCAGTGAGGACCTGGCCACTGCCTAATGGGAAGCTGCCACATCTTCGCGAGCCCAGTGCCTGGGAAAGTGCCCGGCACTTTAAATAGGTAGCTTCCAAATGGATAAGTGAGCAGGTGGGTGCCTGGAGGACAAGAGAGACAAGAGCCCTTTCTCCCTCCCGGGGGCCTGGCCTTCTCTTAGAAAAGACCAAGTCACTAGTGGTCAGTCTCCAGCCACACTGTTTGCCCAGCCCTAGGCAGCTGTGACACTCAGGGGCTCAATCTCTTGACCAGTTTCTGAGGATAAGAGGATGTGTCTATCCTATCCTCAGCTGCCCTTGCTTCTCTAAGAGACAGGTTCATCGGCAGGCCTGAGTTCACTGAGGTGGGGAAGAAGGGTCTTAAAACTGAGCCTGGTGCTGCTTTGGGGTCACAGCAATCCTTGCTCTACGTGCCATTGATGAGTGAAGCAGGCCAGGGCCCCAGGGCAACCGAACTTCATTCTCCTCTGTGCCCTCCTGCACTACCCTTCCCCAGCCCTTGTTCCCATCACATCATCCTGCGCACGGAAACCCTGGCTGTTCCAAGACCAGGGCTGCCAGGCGACTAAGGACAGGAAGGGTCCAGGAAAGAGAGTCACCCTCAACTGCAATCTCCACTGCCCTTTTGGTAGGAACCTTGTACAACAACATCAGACCCCAGGAAGGTCCCGGAAGAAAGAGAGAATTCCCCTCAGATTTAGAAAGGGAAGTCTGGGCCTCCAACCAAAGGCTTTTCTGTCCCTAAAAATGCAGACCCATCTCTAGACTTTCCCCATGTGGCCAGCAGGTGGCACCACCATCAGGGATTTCAAAACCAAAACTAAGTTACTCTGGAAACAGATTTTTTTTTTTTTTGGTTTTGTTTATGCAAATAGTTCATTCCCTACAACATTCCTCCCGTAATGGTCCCCCCCCTTTTCCCACTCATTCCCTCCCCCTTCCCTCCTCTGCGTGACTCTGCTCTCCCTGGACAGAGAGTGGATGAAGACGCTGTCAGGAGAGTCAGAGACCCAAAAACAGGACTTGAGAAATGTGAGTAAGGCTGATGGGGACCAAGGAGGGAGGGAGAAGCCAGAGCAGAGAATCCTGGGCACGGGGGGCAACCCTGCCCCCAGATTTACTCAGGGAGGTGGGAACACACTTCCCCTCCGTATATACCTTACCCCTTCCAACGTGCACATGCGTGCACACGTGCAAACACATACCCCCCGTCCCTCCTCCTGAGGGCAAGAGGAGACCTCAGACACAGGAGGTGATGCCACCTTGTCTTCCTCCTCCAGCTCCTAGGGAGCAGCGAGATGGGGGACCCACTCAGCCCTGGAGAGGCATCGTTTTGTGCCCGAAACCATCTTCCATAGGTGGTTTCTCCCAGAGGCCTTTGCTGAGCCTTTGGGAGCCCTTTCGGAGAGCCGTGACTGGAAACCCTCACCCCCAATTAACGGATCCCAAGCCAGCCCTATTCCGGGAAGGGGAGGGGAGTGATGGGACAGGGCAGAGGAGGCTGGGGAGAGAGGTGGAGGGAGCATGATGACCTCTGGACTGGGCACCGCCCCGGGGAGTGTGCGCCAATGCCGCAGCTGCAGAGACCAGCCTCCACACTCCACCCGCCCCCGCCCCCCAGAACATCTCTGTGAGGTCTAGAATGGGCCGAGAGGAAAACGCCCAGCGGTATGACCATCCCCACCCCCTCCGCAGCCACTGCCCAAACTGCAAGGTTGCTGCACCCCTCCAGCCCTACAGATACCTTTTTTCTTTTTGGCAGGTGGCTCTTATATGTCCTGGTGCCAGTCCTGTTCTACAGGGTGGGAAGCTCCGTCTTCACCCCTCGGAAGCTCTATGGGGAAGTGACTTCCCCTCTGTACCCCAAGCCTTACCCCGACAACTTTGAGACCACCACTGTGATCACGGTCCCCACGGGATACAGGGTGAAGCTCGTCTTCTGGCAGTTTGACCTGGAGCCTTCGGAAGGCTGTTTCTATGATTATGTCAAGGTAGGGGCTCAGGTTGGGTGGGCAGAGGGAGAGCTGGGTGTCTCTGGAGCCTGGGAACTTGTGTTCTGACCACCCTGTATAGGACCCCACCTGTGGACAAAGCCCCAAGCCTGCAAAAGCTGATGGCCAAGTGGGGTTCTGAAAGTCAAGTGATGCCGTGGATGAGTGTCCACTGGTTTGAGAGCCCCTAGGGGAGCACTGAGGGGAGAGACACAGAGGGAAGGTACGGGCCCCACTCTCAGGAAATGTACTGCCTACAGGAATCAGAAAAACCTTCCCCATCTTCTTACTTGCTAGGAGCCTTTGGGAAATCGCTGTGCCTCAGTTTCCCTGTTTCCATGGAGAGTATCGCCTTGGCTGCCACCTCACCAGGAACGCAGGGACATGGGGAAGGGAGACGTTCATGGTGGTGGCTCAAGCATAGGCTTCAGCAAGGACAGGGAGCTGTCTCCTCACCTGTCATGACCTAGGGCACCGTCCCAGTCCCATCTTTCTACATCCAATAAAAATGAGATTCTTGACTCAGGATTCAGGTAGAGCGTGCACACAGCCCATAAATACTATTCCAAGGAGACCTCCTGGAGGTTATAAGAGAATAACGTGAAAATGAAACATCTTCCTAGCCCAGAGGACTTGAGACGGCAGTGCTGGAGGCGAGGGGTCTTGGTGGCAAGGGATGGTGAAGAATGAGGTGGGGGGAGGGATGCCTTCTGCTTTGGAGGGGTTAAGGAATCTGTGAAGAAAGAGGTAAGGGAAGTTCAGCCACGCTTGCTAAGGCTACCAGGCCCCGGAGGCTCACGTACGGCTGAGTCCATCACGAGGCATGGCTGGATGTGAGTGGTTTGACTAAGGCGAGGTGGAAGGACAGGGCAGAAGGTAAAGCAGACCATCCAGGCTCTAGGGATGAAGGAATGATAGAGGCCAGGTAGAGGCCACCAGGATTCCAGTGGGAGGCGGGCACAGGAGGAGATGGGAGTGAAGAAAGGTCTGAAACATGCTGGGGGCCATAAAAGGGGAGAGACGATGTTTGCGGGTCAGGATAACGTGCAGAGTTAGCGGATGGAGATGCAGGGGACAGAGGAAAGGCACCTGGGGAAGCTTGCAACAGCCAGAGCCCAGCAGGCAGAGAGCAGCTGGAGGCCATCCAGCAAGGAGGCATGATCCGCTCGTTGGGACAAGAGAAGGATGACCTTCACTGACCCTCCACGTGGGACGTGTCCCCTCGACAACTGTCTCCCCACCCCACTGTCCTTCGTCCACCAGATCTCTGCCGATAAGAAAACCCTGGGGAGGTTCTGTGGGCAGCTGGGCTCTCCACTGGGCAACCCTCCAGGAAGGAAGGAATTTATGTCCCAAGGGAACAAGATGCTGCTGACCTTCCACACGGATTTCTCCAATGAGGAGAATGGCACCATCATGTTCTACAAGGGCTTCCTGGCCTACTACCAAGCTGTGGGTGAGTTGTCCCTGTGCCCGTGTTCCAGGCCTCATATTGCACGGGGGCCGGAAAAGGAGAACCTTGACTCCAAAGAAGCAGGAAGCCTGGCCTTCCTTGCTTTTCCCAAGAGAGCTTTTTCCAGAAGAGGGCTGTCCACCTGAGCCCTGTCCCCACTGGTCTGTTCCCAGAAAGCGTTAGAGGGGCCGGGAGGCCCACCTGGCCAGGAGCTGACTTTGTCTGTTTAGGCCTCTGGTGAGTGACCTCACTGAGACCAGCGCCACCACAGAAGTCCCCTGGCAGGAACTGAATCCCTCCTTCCGGAATCTCTTCCAGACCTGGACGAATGTGCCTCCCAGCTCAACTTGGTCGAGGAGAATCCCCAGCCCCTGTGCCAGCACCTGTGTCACAACTACATTGGTGGCTATTTCTGTTCCTGCCGTCCAGGCTACGAGCTTCAGAAGGACAGGCATTCCGGCCAGGGTGAGGTCAGGGTTGGGGGGCAGGGACTGAGCAAGGGCTCGCCGGGCCAGC